GGGACGGGCGGCCGGCCGGGGTGCCCCTGCGCCTCAGCCTCGCAGGTGTCTAACAGCTTCTCCCCCTTTTGTCCTGGCGGGGCGGGGGTGTCCCCGCCGGGCACGGGGGCATCGCGCCGGCCTCCTTTCCCCAGGAAAATGGGCGAAAAACAACCCCGAGGATCATTTGAGTTACACTTTGCTATAACGGCGTCTGCCTCTGGGCAGTCCCATGCCATTTTGGAGAAAAAACTCATTAATTTCACCTGACCGTCTCTGGGGTTAATGTTCTGGTAGTTTTAACCTGCAAGCAGTGGATGTAAAGCTTCATACTGCGATTTGGATACGGGGGTAACCTGATCTGAATGAGGGTGGAGGGCCTGGGGGCACTTGTGTGCGCGTGGGGTACTGCAGAGCTGCCAGCACCCCCAGAGCCCCCAGCCGCACACGCAGACTGAAGAGGGGACGATGGGGACCAGCTCAGGGTGCGGTTCCCCACAGCAGTCCTCCTGCTGTTTCCTTCAGCCTCCAAGTTTTGGTGCAAGTTTAATGCGTCTTTCTGAGCTCTGTTTTCTCAACTACAAACTTGGTGTGGCTTTAGCCTCTCAGGGCTCCTTTAGGCCTAGTTTTATTTTAAGTGTTTTGAGGTCCTCAGGCTGCTTTTAACAGCACAGTGAATTTCCTTCCTTCAAAAAAAAAAAAAAAAAAGCAGCATACCATAGAAGCTAAAAATAGGAGATAATAGTTTTTATCTAACCACAACTTTGTGCATTGCATAGAAAAGGCTTCCAGCAGGACATAAGGATGAAGCGATTCATGGCCATGTTAAACAGGAATAAAAACAAGGATCCCCCACCCGCCAAGCTGCTGGATCTAGCAGGACAGCTTTGCCAGGACGTCCAGAGTTCGTTTCCTAGTCTGGAGAAGCTGGTTGGGGCCATGATGGGATGCAAACACAAGATGCATTTTCTCACTAACATCCATGTTGTCCGAGCTTGTGTGTTTGTTCATATCCATAACGGGCAGCATGACACAGCCTGCAGACTCTTGGAGGTAGGGATGTGTTCTTTGTTTCTTCATGGAGACAAAAAGCAGTGTTAGAAAAATAGTAGTTAGAGCAGAGTACCCAAACTGCAGCGCGTGCAGCGTTTCCAGCTGGCGTACGGCAGTGGAGGGTGATATGTGTGCTTTGGTTGACCTGAAATACAGGATAAAGCCTTTGCTACAGGTAGTTGCTATTAATCAGCCAAGGGCAAGAAGGTAATTGGGTGATTATGAGGTTGGTTGTAGTTTTTGAAAGCAGGATTTTTGTTCTCTACTGTGGTGGTTTTTGGAGTTTTTCACAAACTTAGGGCTCAGGACGTAAAAGCCTCAGGGAGGCCAAGTTTAGAGGGCTTGCCAGGATGGGAAGATATGAGGAAGGCTGGATGGCACCACTGAAGGTAAGGGATTTTGGCGTCTTGATCTGGTAATGTAGCTCTTTTCAACACGGGAAAAGAAGGTATTGGGCAGGCAACTCCCTGTGTACATTAGAGAAGGTACAGTGAGCCATATACTTGGATAATGCTACCAGCTTTGTCAAACCAGTAGGAATCTCTGAGTAAGTTTCTAGTTGTTGAGGGTTTTCTCCTTTATAGGAAGCCTGACTGACTACCTGGAAAGGGTTTGCTTACATACTATTTTGTTTTAGTATTGCAAGGCAGAAGAGAAGGAGGAGCTGGTGCAACTTTGGCATGAGATTCACTACCGGAGGGTTATGGAGAAACACCACACGGATTTTCTGACACCACTGCAGAAATTCCGTTGCAGGAAGAGGTATTGTGGCGTGGGGGAACCGAATTTTTTTTTCTCTGCTGTAGTTAGCAGATGCAGAGGCTGGTTTTGCATCTCATGATGGCTGCTTCTTGGAGCTAGGTTTTTCTTGGCGTTTTGACCACTTGTGGCAATGTGAGAAAATTTCCATGAATATGAATGACTCTCTTTTTCTGTCCTTTTTAATCCTGTTTTCTCCTGTGTACAGGAATCCTCCACCTATTTCCCTTTGTCCTGAAGGTTTGAAAAATCGAAACTATTCAGGTGAAGTACGCCAGCAACTGCACAGGTTTGCTGCAGAGGTGACATCAAATCCAAACAAGAAACAGCGGGTAGGGATATGCTACTTCCAATCAAGTCTCCTTGTCACAAAAAAGCAGAACTCTGTGATCAGTGTTCTATAACTGGTTTCATTCTAAATCCTTGTTTTCAGAAGCCCCAGTGGGGCTGTTTTTTTTTTTCCCTAAAGGTTTCCTTAAAAAATCATCAAGTTCATGCTAAGTAATTTCACTTGCTGTGGACAAAAATACCAGGGGAAATAAGTTCCTCGCTGGGCTTTTAACAGTTCTAATTCTGTAGTGATTGAGCATAGGCAGCGAAACAACCGTCACTTAGAAGAGCTGTATTACAGTGATAAATAGTTCTGACTTGAGTGAGTTATTGCCCGTATAAAATTGCACTTTGCTTACTAGAATATATTTTGTACTGACTTATCACATTAAATTCATGGAATTTGAAAACACGATAGGCTGTGTTGATATATGCATGTATCTACCCTGTTTGGGCAGGACAAATTTGTAATGAAAATGACATATGAATTAATTCAGTAATCTTTGTTGATTACTACCTTGCAAGGTGTGAAGGCTTCAGACTTTAAAGTCTGCCGCTGTGGTACTCAATTTTTCCAACACCCTTCTCACATGAGGCAAGATGGCCTGGTGAATAGTTCTGCAATGTGAAGATGGTTTATTTCTTACTCTTTTCACAAAGCAGCAACAACTTCCAAATTTTCATTTTAAAAAATAGTCTGAATTGGGAGCATAATGAAGTTGCACAATTAAGTCCTAAAAGATCAGGATACGATGATCACTTATGCATTAATTTCCCGATACATTCTTCACTTATGTAATCTCATTATTTAACAGTTTAATACAGCAGAAGTTTTCTGTGAACATGATACAGATGTTTATACTACTCACAGTTTGTGAAAACTATTTAATGTGGTAAATGCATTAGTGTTTATCCTATTAGTGTCATGTTAGTGATGTGAAGCTGTCATTCTGTGGGAAGAGCATGCTTTGGAGAGGTTTTACATTTAAATATAGCAATATAAAATACTAGTATATGGTTTCCATTAGCAAACAAATTGACTAGGGGAGCAGGGTGGAATGCATGTTTTCCAGCAACTCATTTGACTTTATATATCAGTCTCCTCAATGGGATCCACATAGACTTACTGGAGTCCTAGTGAAAAAATGTCGCTGAGTTTGAAAGCTCTTTTGCTGGGCTGCTTTTGGAACTGAAGGGAAAAGCCTGATTATTTGGATGTGGTTTATTCTTTTTCCCTTGATGTCTCCCTACACCTGGGTTTGCAGGAGGGATTGGCTCGGGACATGAACCTGCAGCCAACTCAGGTCTATAATTGGTTTGCAAATTATCGACGACGTCAAAAATCCTGCCTCCCTCGTACAGAAAAGCTCAACAACTTGTGTCTTGAGAGGGCTTTGACTTACCACACAAAAGAGCGGCAGGATAAAGGATCCTACACTCCACAAACTGCAGGTTTGTCTCCTCCTAATGTGCTTAGGATGTGGTCCAGAAAGCTGAAAAACAATTTTAAATATCCTCAGGAAGGGAAGGATATTCCTTCTCCAGAACAGCATCTATATGCTGATGGATCAAATGGACATTGGAGGACTCTACTTCAGTGGAGTGCCTCATTGTTTGGCTAGAGGCTGTCACTCCGTAGAAGGAGCAAGCATTGATAAGGCCTGTGCAAAGACAGGTGAAAAGAGATGCCCGTCTCAGAAGGGGCACCAAATGAAAGCACATACATGGGAGGCAGCAGGTTTTAGCTCTCAGATTCTGGGATCAGGGCAGTACTCCAGTAAACCCCAGTATTTCCATGCCCCTTCACAGAATCTTGACCAAACTTCAATCACGGAGAATAAGAGGGTCTTGCTGCATTTGGCAAATTAGCCTTATTTCATTGCTTTTTGGAGTAACTATTAGTGTTCCTTCACCTGCCCGGCCTGCACCTTTCAGATGGATCTTCTGTAGGCATCGGCTCTGAGCAAATGGAGATAACCCTCATGCCCTGTGACCCAGGGTGGGAGCCGTCAGCTGCAGATCTGGATAAGCCTCCTGAAGGAACTTATTTAAAGATGCTGGAATCCAGGTGATGTATGAACAAGTCTTTACAGTGACAGTTCAGGGGTGAAGCAACCTCTGAACTTTTTAATGGAACTGACTTTCATGTCAGTTCCCAGGGGACATCACTTAGGAGTCATGACTCCATAGATGGGAATGGTCCATGCCCAGCATCTGGCAGTCAGAGCATCTAGCAGTTAATCTCCCAGCTGTCAAGGGCAGGATTCAAAGGTTTAGCCGGGGCATCCCCCCTCTTTGCAACGCAATATGTCTGGCTGATTTATTTTCTCCATCATTACAGCTTTATGCAGAGCACTGAGCTGTATGAAGCGAGGGCAAGCAAGGCTTTGCTGACCACTCACAACACTGAACAACCTGTAGCTTTTTGCACTGAGGCTATGCTGGAACCAGGAACCTGCTTTAACTCTGCTGTCCTGCAGCCCAGAGAAGTAGCAAGCAGTACTGATGCCAGCCCCCGGCTGGGTAACTTTGTCCTGTGCTCTTGTGGGTCCCTTACCTTCCCAGATGAACAGCTGGACATGTGCCAGGCCCCTTCCGGCACCAGAGCAGTCTCTGGCTCCATGTGGACCCCAAGTATAGAAGGTTAGTAAAACTGCACCCAGACTGTTGACCTTAAGAGTTTTCAAGCTGCTCTTCCCTTTGTTGTAAACACTCTTGCTCACTTACGTGGCTTTCCGATGTCATGACAACTGGGAGCAAGGCTTATCTTGAGCTCCGGGAGTTCTGCTCCCATAGTAGCTCAATGAGAAAATCTGTTGATTTAAGGTGTTGAAGCAGACATTCTCACCTACTCTTTTGCTTAAATTGTAACTCCTTCCGTAAGATAGTACTTTCCCAGCAAGGTGGATTCCTTTTAGCATTTCCATTGGAAGAGTCCCTTCAGATGTTGTCTGCTTCCCTTGTCAGTTTGCAAGCTTCTGGGTTTTTAAATGCCTATCATTCTTAAGAGGTTGCCTGAGCAGAGGCTGGGAACTTCTTAACTGTGACACGGTGCTCGTCTTCAGCAACACATTCTCACTTTCCTTTCACCTTCCTGCTATTCTTTCTCTCTCCCTCTCTGTTTCCTTCCTGTCCAGCATTCAGCATTCCCACCATCTTTTTTCTTCTCCCTGTTCTTCAGAATAGCTTTGATAGGATGTATAAGTGATGTCCACCTGCTTTTGCTGTAGGTCTACAGAACAGAAAGTGCTGTGACTGCCATTCACCCAGCCCCTGGTGAATGTGGAGCAAGGAGGGGAGGAAGAGCTGGGTCAGAGGTTGGGGTCGTGTTATCTGTAATTGTCTTTAATACAAGCATTTATTTCAGCAGGTGTCAGAGCTCCCTTGAGCAGAGTCCCTCAAGGTGGCTGTATTGAGTCCAGTTCAGGAAGAATCATCCAGCAGGCAGATTTAGAGGTTGAAAGCTTCATCCTTAGAGAAGGACAGCTAGGGACCCTGGAATCTCTTCTTCCGCGCAGGTAAAGGGAGCGGAAAGCACAGGGCTTCTTAAAGGCAGGAGTAACAATGACACTGTGGGTCTAGCCTTGTCCTGATCTCCCTGAGTGTAGTGATGCATCTCATTCCAGGGACCTGACTCTCCTTGTGTCCATCATATTTTGCAGATATTTATATCTGTGCACTGGAAATGGGAAATGCTGTATAAGTGTATATGTGTTTTACGGTGGTGGCACAAAGGAGATTCGGGACCAGCCTCATCAGAAAAGATATGAACCCTTCTCTTTAAAGCAAGTTTAACTTCTAAGCTATTTGTCTGTTTTTCTTTTTGGCAGAAAATTATAACCAATACTGATCTCAGTGTGAGCTGATTCTGTGGGCTGGATTGGTAGGGCCCGTATTTAATCCTAAAATAGTTTTTGTAGCTTCATAACCTCATGACAAGATTATTCCATAGTGCAAGCTTTCCAAATTGAAAGACAGAAAGACAGGCACTGTTTGTCTTTCTGTTTTCCACCTGTATCAAATATTTCAGACTGAAGGTTTTCTCTGGGACTTGAGATAAATTCACAGAATGCAAAACAAATGCAAAAATCCGTGCCATCTTCCATATGTTATACAACTTCCATAATGTTACATAAAAATACACACTGCCAAACAGACATTAAGAGGTTCCTTTAATTTACTGATCTGCGAGACAGAGAACAGGAGCAGTAGCACCATTTCATAACCCTTCTGCTTGACACTGTCCAGTATTTGTGCTAGCATGACACTGTCAATAATATGTCAAAGAGGTAGGTAGAAGCACTTTTATTCCCACTTTATAGATGAGGAAGCGGAGGCACGGAGAGGCTTTGTGGCTTGTCAAGCAACAAGGGAAGGCAGTGATTCACTGGAGATAAAGATCAGTGCGTTTTGCCTCCCAGTTCCCTGCTAAAAACACTTCTGCCTTTTACCCCTGTTTCCCAGTTGGCTTGGTGCCTACAGTTGTTCACATTCATGTCAAGACGCCCCACTCTGAATTGCTGCGGAGAACCCAAGTCTGGGCATTGTAAGTGCACCTCAGTCTGTGTTTTAGGATTTGCAGTTTTAAACAGTGGCTAAAGATCATGAAAGATCACTGAGGCTTGCTGACAATATTTTGGCTGGATTTAAAATTGCATGTTCTGACTCTAGAGTGAGCTCATGTTTATTTTTAAAATATGTTCCGCCAGTAGAAGAAATCTATGGTGAATGTCTCCTTCTTGGGTTATGTCAGTTGTGCCAGGAATCCACACACCCTTTATCATATTCCTGGCAGGGGCAGGACTTGCTGCTTCGTTGACACCTTCTGGTGAGGATTTAGTTATTTGAACTCTATTCGTAAACCCTGTTTAGTGGCCCGGTCCAGCTCCCCCCAAAACCTTGAACTCCCCAAAATGCTATGAATGCTATGGAACAGCAATCTCTTTAGAAATGAGTGATGCTTAGGCTGCAACTTCATCCTGGCGTTTTTGCAGTTTCTCTCTAATGAGACAGGAGACCTCGTGTGGGTATTCTTGGGTAAGATCACTGCTCAGTGAATGGCAATGAATGAGGATCACCTTTGTTATCAGGCAGAGCCCTCTAACAGTGTTACTGGATTAGAGAGAAGTATTGTGTCACCGGAGTCATCTTTAGCAATAACGTTGCAATGAGCATCACTCATCTGGGGACTCATGGAGTCAACAGCTTCAACTGTAAGGCAAATGAGTGTTGCTATCCTGGAAAGACAGGGCAGTGAAGTTATCCCTGCTTTACAGATAAAAGTAAAGCACAGAGAAGGAAATTATTTATCCAAGGTCACCCACCTGGAGTGGACTTAGTGTTATGCTCTCACTGCCTCGCCAGCACCTGTGGCTCCCTGTTTCGTAAGTGCAGGGGCAGAGCTACAAGTCAGCCAAAGGACCCTTAATCTGCTTGTCCCATTCTTAAACGTGCTCACCTGGAAAGGACTCGGCCTGAAAGCTTATTAGAACAATTCCAGTTGATTTCTTTCAAGGGCTTTTTACAGTCAGTCCTACGCACTTGGGCTGTATCCAAACCTCTTATGATCTACAGGGCTGTGAGGGGGAACCAGGCTGGAAGCTGACTGTCTCCATCTGCTCCTGCTGCCTGGTAGGAGAGTTTGATCCAGCTAGTGAACTGGAAGTTCCTGTGGGACATAAAACAGATGCTTGACTTTACAGATAGTGGTGTTGTATCCTCTTCACTCCTTGAGTTGGGACAGGTGGGATGTAGCCCAGCTAATGGTTCATGCAGAATATAACGCTCTTGTGCCTCACATTTCAAACAGAAAAGCACACTGAACTCCATGGAGCAAGACGAACTGAATTTATGAGCCAGCATATTGATTTAGAATACATCAGTGCTAGGATGTTCATTGCAGCTTACCACTTCTGCCTGCATTTTTGGGATTCCAGCTCAGAGTGCTAGGAATCCTCCTGCTTTTAGGCTCTCCCCGCCACTGGCAGGCAGCAAGTTCAAAACGCACAAAAGGAGGCTACTTTTTGGCATGTTGCATAATTAAATCACAGAATTTGTTGCTAAGGGCATTGTACATGTCAGTGTAAGTGGGCTATGAAAAAGGATGAGACAACTTCTGGGGGGGGCAGCGGGTCGAGTCCATTTGTCGTTAGTGCATGTAATTGCCTGAATGCAGCCTCTAGCTGAGTCCCAAGACTGATTGCTGGGACCTGGGGAGCATTCCAAGGAAGGGCAACTTGACACTTGCCCTGTTTCTTCTACTTTTTCCCTATGCTCTATTAGTTGGCACCTTTGGTCTGGGCCTGTATGGCCATTCAAACCCTGCGCTATTCCTGGTAGTGGTATAGGCAGCGTTGTTGGGGTATAGATACTTTCGAGTTGGTGATGAAGGGAGAGAACATCCCATCAAGTACCCAGTGTCTCCTACTTGACCCAGTGCTCGCAGATTGTGACCTCTTTTGAGAGGTTGGCAGAGCCCCCAAGGGAGGTGTGGATGGGGAAGCCATGTCCCCAGACTCTTGACTGGTGGCCTTGAAAAGCTATAGTAAAATTGTAGCCAATGTTGTGGCTGTGTCTAAAGCCACATATTTATGTGTTTTGACTCTTAAGATCTGTATTTTTAAAATATGTTCCAGGAAAGAGACATTTTTGTAGACATCTCCTTGTGTATGGAGAGTGTTCTGGGGGCATGAGGAAAGTTGCAAATTGAGATGTCATTCCTGTATACTGCTCCTGGTCAGGCTAGTCCTGAATCTGTATTTTCAGGCCAGAACAATTTGGAGAAATGGGTAGGTTTGTAGACAGCTTAACAAAACTCTGTTGAATGAATAGTCTTGCCAGCAGCCCTCTTGTCCTGCTGCAAAACACTACAGTAAGTGGTGAGTAGAGCATAAATACAAATGCATTTGTATATCATCATATTTTCTTCCAGTTCCTGTCAGATGGTGTACGGCAAGCCTCAGTGCCCACCTGTTTCTGCACACTGCATGGAAGAAAGCCAAGCCTTGGGACAAAGCCAGGTAAGAGAACACACCTAATGTTCAGAGAAAGGAGCTTAGCCCTATACACACCATCAAGGTGCAGCTCTCATACAGGAGATGTGAAATCTCACATCGTATTTAGTATGAAACATGTTTGATCTAAGCATACCTTTTGGAATCCAGTTCAGAGCAAGCTGGCTAGCATCTAGCAGATGCTAGAAGGAGAGGTGTTTCTGTTGGTTTTTCCACTTGGATTGCTTATCAGACCCTGATTTTACTAAACGTGTCATTGAAATGATGTCCAAAGCAACCTGTGCAGACCCAAAGTGTCATTTAAATTTTGAGCAATGGAGGGCTCACCTAGCAGTGTGGAAAGAAGATGACAGGAAGGTGGCTGCTTGAGGGTCCTCCCCTCTGAGGGTTCTGCACAACTTGACTCTGCTCTCTCAGAACTCTTAAAATCTTTCATGTAATTTTCATTTCCAAGTCTGTGTTATCACTGAGGAAAAGGGATTTTGCACTGTTCTGAGATGGCTGATAGCAATGTACAGAGCAGTGTTATTACAGGAAACGATAAAAGAAGTTACTTCCATGATCTGGATGCAGTCTGCATTCCTTCTTACAGTGATTTTGAGGCAGTAGAGAATAGAAGTTAGAAATCTGGTGCTTTCAAGGGGATGGGAGCACATCTGTGAATTAAATGTTACTTAAAAATAGGACCCAAGAAAGCCCTATCTAAACTGTACCTTGAGCTATTTTTGGGCTTCACATGTGGTGGTCTACCAATCAGTTAGCATCCAGTTCTCCTGCAATGTTTCTCTTGCAATGTAAGCTGCTGGAGAAAACCTTTTTAAAAGAGACTTCGAAAAGCAGGAGACATATCTGCTGGCCTCATTATGGGAAGCAGCTGCAGCTCTGAGGGCAGTAACAGAACCTTTTTTGAGCCTTTGAAAGCATCAATATAAAGATCTGTATCTTGGAAAATGGCCTTTTTACCAGCCATAATGTGAGCCAGATGAGTAGGAAAGCTTTGGGCATTAATAATGAATGAGCCTTTTCTAAGATTTCCAGAGCATGCTGTTTCTGTAGCTAGAGTTTTCACCTTGTTATTTTGCATTCTTGCACTGATTTTGCAATGGTATAGAAACATGACAGTCAGTGCAATGTGGGCTGGGGAGCAAGATACCGTGTGATGCTTGCAGATGTCAAAAGGTGACATCTTCAAATCTTTGTAACAATTACTCAGTTCAGGAACTCAGAAAAGCAATTTTTGTATATTTTAATGTGTGCTGTAGGAAAAGGAAGGGCTTGAATGGGTAAATGATTTTACAGCATTCTACAGACTTCTTGGGCACTCTGTTTCTTGCTGAATCAACTTGCCCTGGGCTTGTTGCAGGAATATGCAGATGTTTGGTTCCTGTGTCTGAACCACAGGGGTGCAGATGTACACTTCCTTTCATCCACACATGACTTTCAATTTGCTTTTCGTAGGTCATGCATCCCATCAGAGCCAAAATGAGAGTAAAACAAAACAAGCAAACAAACGAAAAAAAGTTAATTTATCCCTACCTGAACAGAGCTCCCTTGTTCAGGTGATCACTCCCTTCTTAATTATTTCATCCCGGTCTTACCCTCTGTCATTACTTGCTTTTATAGGAGCCAATGCCTTGGGCAAAGGGAAGGGAATTGCTTTTCTCTGAATTACTTAGAGTTGAATTGTGCACTAATTGCATTTGTCATTTTTACGCCTGTGTCCTGTACAGATGGATTACGCTAGCTGAACTTAGAGGGGAATGAGGACTTTGTCACTTCATGCACACAGCCCTCACCACTGACTTTCCCTCCCACCACAGTCTTGTGCTACTGTATGGCTGCCCAAAGGAGCTCTTCCATCGTGAGCAACGGCATCATTAAAGATCGTATGTGGTGAAGCTGTGATTCCTTCATGTGTCTTTCAGGTCCTGGAGGATCCAGTTGGTGACCCATTAACCAATGACACCTTCTGGGCAGCATGGCTGCTCTTTGAATTCTCAGCCGGGGGACGAATGTGACCTGCCTGCAGAGATGCTTAATGTGGGCTGCACTTCCCCAGGAAACACCCCATGCTTTCCTGGTTTGGTTTGGTTTGGTTTGGTTTTTTTAATGAATGAGGGGTTTGACATGGAGATGAATAGAGAGAGTGAGGTAGAAGGATGAAGGCTTTTTCTAATAGTTACAAAGTTTGTTTTAGATACAGTTTTATTAAGAATTTTGCAAAGGATAGAAGAAACCAAAGGTGCATTTCGGATTGTAGGTTTTTACTGGAGCAGTCTGAAGCTGCACTGTAGGATGCTAAAAATATCCAGTCACTAGTTCTGTGGCAGTTGCATATTTCTACCCATAGCACTGGTCAGACCTGAGTCCTTCATTACATCATGAAGGTAAATGAAGCTCCTGTACTCAAAAAGAGTAAAATGTAGTTACATTGCCTAGCAGTGGATATTGAATAACTTTTTCTCAGGCCTGGAAAATAAGGTTTCAGCTAAGTGCTGGTAAAATACTGCTATTTCTCATCTCTGTATTTCTATTGTACTGCTGGGTGTAACCTCTGGAATGTTCCACACTCTGTAGTATCACAGATGACACAAACTGGAGCATGGCAGAATTTTCAGTGCTAAAGTCAATGTTCTTGCAGGATTGGGGGGGGCATACCAGTGTGTCAGTAGTTAATACTACCTGCAACTCAGATTGCCCAGGAAAGAAGGATGAATGGAGGAAGTGGGAGCCACTGAACCTCTTGATCCCCAGATCTGGGTGGACTGAAACTGCTGAGGCAATTGTCACCCTTCAGGTGGTCTGCGGCAGTCTGACACCAGGCAGGGGCAGGCAAGCACATCCTGTTCAGACGAGTGCCCTGCAAAGCGGTTTGAGTTGTGCAGATGCTCTTTCCTGCACACCATAGTTAAGTGTGGGGCTAATACTGTATTTGGCTGAAGGCTGCTTACTCCGCAGGGGTACGCTGTTTCACTGCAGCTCTCCTGGGAGCGTGCACAACTCTGTTCCTTTTGCCCAGTGCGTTTCCTTACTTAACGCAGCCTCGAGGCCGCCTGTTACACTCCTTCATCTCACGCTGCTCACGGATCAGGAGCCCTGTTTCCTTTCTCTTGGAGACTAAAAAGCAGAATTGTGTATGAGAGCGTTAGGGCATGAGAAGCAAAGCAGACCCTTGATGCAGGTTTAAAACTAATGCTGCAAGTCCTTGGGCAGTCTTTTGGGTATTTTCCCAAAGTATTACTGCTGTTTTTTAAATCTGTATTGCAAAAGGGGTAATCCTTGCCAAAACTCCAACCCCAAGTACAGTAGATGCCTCCAGTACCTTTTGTAATAAAGTTAGCAAATAAAGGTTATGAATGACTCTTTCTCCAAGGTTCATTTTTCAAGGTAAGTGTGTGAAATGGTTATTCACACACAGTATTTAATTATGTATTAAAATCCTAGCACCAGCTGCCCTGGGTACACCTGTGTGTGTTGAGACCCCAATACTTCCTTTATTTTGGTGGATCTCACTTGGAAGGCCATTTCCTTGTTGTCGGAGGTTTTGTGTTCAAAACCGCGGCGTCTGGAAGGGTTATGCACACGTTTACGTTTATTTCCTTCAACAATGGCGCTCTTGGGCGAGTCCGAGCTGGCGCGCAGGGAGGAAAGGAGCCAGGCGACCGCGGCCCTCCCAGAAACCCGTGAGGGACGTGTTCG